GATAGATGGTTCATGTGTCTGGTTTAGGGAATTTCTAAATTGTTGGTGGTTTAACTAGAATTGAGAGAGTATTTCTCTCTAAGATCAAAGACCTTCATGTGTTGATCAAGCAATGAAAAAGATTCTTCAGGAAGGAAATAACTTGATGTCCATCAAATCTTTACCGTGTTCACATATCCTTATAAACTAGCATACTGTGAAAAGTATACTGTGAGGGCCATCGGGCTAAGGGGATGGATGAAGCCAGCTATAGGCGAGAACATAGTTGCAATGAATATGATTTTCTTGAATACCCTGGGCTAATTCTTGTTTTATAGCAATTATTTAATCTCTAAAATAACTTTAAGTGGTAATGCTATTCTCATTTTACGAGTAAGGAAACCGAGCCATGGAGAGGTTAAGTAATTTGCCCTAGATTTTATTCTGGTCCATCCTGGAGCCATATCAGGGGTGGCCTGCCATGTGAAGGGCACAGTGGAGGAGGTGTCTTTGGAGCCTTCCCTCCCTGGGTCTCAGTGCTCCTGCAGCACTTGGAAGGCTGGTCCTGCCTGTGGCATCTTCTCTGGCCATCTTAACCACTTCTGTGGATTGTTCCAGTTGCAGTGACTGAGTGTGCATTGTTGAAGATCGCTGAAGTGAGTGCCTGGTCAGTTTCCAACCTGTGAGTGGCAGAAGATGAGCTCTGAGCAGCAAAGAGATGTTTCTGTGATCTACACAGAAAAGATAAGTGGTTGTTAGAAGCAGTTATGAAGAACATCCAAGCAATATAATCAAATCCTAACCTAACTGGTAATAGAGATTGAGCTTTGAATTTATGGAAATATTGGAAATTTGATAAAGAAAACTCCTTAAGTGGTCTTTTAATGTTTGATACTAAATAATTTGGAGAACAGAAAAGCGTTCCTTGCCTTTCTTGCCTGTCTTTCAAAATAAACTCCCCTCTCCACCCACCCCTGACACAGACACAAAAGGACCAGTGGTGGCTGATGCTTTTTCTAAAATAGATTAAAGAAATAGCAGCTCTCTTAAAATTGCTTTTCTCTCTTAACATTTCATTTTGATTTCCATCCTTCCACCCCTTCCTCACTCCCATCTCTCACCCATTCTGTTCTCATCGCAATGATTAGCTGTCTTTATACTTATATATGTGGGTGGGGAACTCTGTCTCATCTCACTTTTTCGGTGTTTCAAGAGCTTTTGACTTTCATCCTCCAGCAAAATGCTGACTCCTTATTATTCCCCATCTCTCACTCCAGTTGAGGCCTCTACTCTAACTTGATTAATCTGAGCCTTGTAATATAGTTTCCCCATTTCTCATACCATTGCCCATCCTCTTCATCTGCCTTTCAATTATAGATTACATATATGTTCTTGTTAGTTGCTTCAAAGATATCTTTGTCTTAGAGTTCTGCCATTTCACAGTTTGTCAAGTGTGGTTTTCATTTTATTTGTCCAGCTTGGTGTTTGGTGTGATTCCTGAACCTGAAGATTCATGTCTTTCATCAAGTCTGAAAAATCCTTTTCCTATATTGCCTTTCTCTGATTCTTTTTCTGTTCTTCTGCCACACTTACTAGATGTTTGTTGAGAATTCTACTTCTTTCCTCCATGTCTTTTAACCCCTCTCTTTGGTTTTCTGTCTGTTTAGTTCTTCGTACTGCATTTGAGTAATTTTCTCAGATCTATTTTTCAGATCTCTTTCCAGTTTACTCTTTCTTTATTCAACTGGTCTAATCTGTGTTAATCTATCTTATCTGTCTGTGTTTTGAATTTCAACTTGTCTATTTTTCAACAATAGTTGGGAGAATAATTCTACTAATTTGAAGAATTTTTATGTGGTTCTTGTAAAATCTGACTTTTTAAGTACTTTTTTAGTCTTTTTTTCATGCTTTCAGTTCCCACTTTTATATCTTTAGTCTTTGTAAACATAATCGTTCTAGTACCTGAAATTCTTGGTCGTGGTTGAAGGGTGGGGCGGGCAGTTCCTTATCCTTGTGTCTTCTGATCCTTGTTCATGGTGGATGGTTTGCATGTTTTGTAATTTTAGATTGTGAGTTTCTCTTCAGGGACTTCCTCAGTGGTAATCTAGTACAGGCTGAGGTTGAGTATGAGTCCCTCCAGAGAGATTCTGTGTGTGCTTTTGTCAGGGGCTCAGGGTTATCACTGGCCTGGGCCACTTTTTACTTTAACTTCTCATCTAGAGGGGCAGACCACGTGAGAGTGGTTCAGTCTGAGCTGCAGACCTACAGGAGGTGGCCTGTGGTCAATTCCTAGGGAGGCTTTTTTTTACTCTACTGAGATCCAGCTGAGGCAGACAAGTTTAACTGTCTCCTTGTGCGTTGGAGAATTTTTTCCCCTGGTGCACTGTTTCACAGAGGGGATGGTCTTCTGACAGTTCCAGCTTTATGCGGGAGTCTCAGTTCCCATTCCCTCACCTGTACTTCGTGAAGGCCCTGTGGCTTCTTTTCCTGAACCATGTGAATTTACAGTCCAAATGTCACATTATCAGAACTGGTAACCTGCCCTACTCTCAGGGCAGCCAGAGTCAGTTCAGACGCTTGGTACTGGTTTTCAGATCTCTGTCTGTTTGACCCTGGAAAATCCCTTATTTTCTTGAGAACTCAGCTATGCATTTAAAAAGATATTTATTATAATTTACCCAGAATTTCTAAGCTTTTAATAGCAAAAGATTTTTCCAAGATGTCTAGTCTGCCAAGAGCACATCATCATCATCCTCTTACAGTGTCTACTAATGGGTGGAAGCTGCCTGTCTCCATTCAAAGAGGAGTATGGAGAAGGGGTCTCTGCTCTTTAGAAGCTCATAGCTTTTTTTGTTTAACTCATTCATAAGCTCTGAGGACTGTTCATTCAGTCTTTCACTCAATCATCCTTACATTCATATCACATTCAATAAATACTTAGTAAGTTCCTATTATCCAGGCTTTCATTCATTTATTAAGCAAATATATATTGTGTACAGCATCTGCTATGTGCTAGACATGTGCTCCTGTTCAGCAAAAACACACCCAATCCCTGTCTTCATGGAGGTCACAAATATTGATCTGATAATTACACAAATAAATGTAAAATTACAAATGTAGCAAGTGCCAGAAAGTAAATGTGCATGGTGCTGTGAGATGTGTAATGGAGGATTTGTCCAACTCAGGCTAGGAAGGGCTTATCTGGAGAAGTGAAATAAGCAAGAGTGGCTTTCATTGAGTGAAAAGGGGAGCAATAATTGTGCCAGATATGGAGCAGTATGTGCAAAGGCCCTGGGGTGAAGATGAAGGACCAAAAGAAGGGTGGTGCGATTACAGCAGAAATAGTGAGAAGAACGTGGTTCCAGAAAAGGCAGAGAGGGAACTAGAGGCCAAAACATGGAAAACCTTGTAGGCTGTGCATTTATCATAAGAGCCATCAAAGACAGGGGAATGACACATCTGATTTGCCCTCCGAAAAGATCATTCTGACTTTAGAGAACAGATCTAAGGAGTCAAGAGTGACAATAGAGACCAGTTGGGAGGCTATTCTCAGTAGACCAGATGAGAGTTGTTGGTAGCTCAGCTGTGGTTTTGGCTTTGTAGAGAAGAGGATATGGACAGATTTGAGATTTACTTAGCAGGTAAGATTATCAGGAAGAAGCAGAGAGATGGGCCAAGAACAATTCTAAAATTTCAGGCTAATATAACTGGATGGCTGGTGGTGTTCCTTTACTGAGAGAGGGAACACTGGAAAAGGACAAGGTTTGGTGGAAAGGCCATGGACTTTTCTTTCGCACATATCAGTTTGAGGTTTTTGAAACATCTAAGAGGAAAATATTAAGAGACAGTTGGATATATGGGTCCAGAGCTCAGAGAAGAGATCTGGGGATATAAATATGTAATTTGCTTACAGGTGTTCATTAGATGAGATTTCCTATGGAAAGATGAGAGATATCTCTTGGATATAGAGACATGGAGATTATTGGTGACCTTAATGGGAGCCGTTTTGGTGGTAAGAAGGGGTGAGAAACTTGGAGTAGGATGTAGAGAGAGTAGGAGATGAGGAAATGGAATCAGTGAGTAAAGACAACCTTCAAGAAGTTTGCCAGTGAAGTTATGTAAGCCTTGAATTCATTTTTAAAGCAAACGTGTCACTTAATTATGATTGCAAGGCAAAATCTTTTAAAATAGAGTCAGTAGAAAAATATTAAAATGGTTTCTTGATAGTGAAAAGGTGGCCAAGATAGAGACATAGGCCGGCACAGAGAGGACGCAAAGACACTGAACCAATATTGAATTGTAGTAACAGCTAACATTTGTTGAGCTCTCACTATTGTTCCAGGTGCCATTCTAACTGCTTAACGTGTTTTAACTAACTTAATCTCCACAACAATTCTGTGAGGTAGGTACACTTATTATCCCATGCAGGACACAAGGAAACTGGTCACCAGCTAGGTGCTGTAACCTGCCAGGGTAGGGAAACAGGATTTCAACGCAGACAGTCAGGCTATGAAGTTCATGTCCTTAACCACTCTGCTCCACTGCTTCTCAGTATATGGGTGCACAATAAAGTATCTGTATTATTTATGAGCCAAGATAATGGGCTCGTCCTCTACAAAGATTGAAAATGTTATTGGTTATATAATGACTTTGGGGCAAAAGTATAAAGTAATTAATGCTGACTCAAATACTTTGTTAAAACTCTTTCTTGGCTTTATATTATAGAACAAGACAGGCATAAATAGCAGTGTCATTAGACCAGATTTAGCTTTAATCAGAGGCCTTCACTAACTATGTGCACGTTATTCATCTAATTGCACCTGAAACTACGCAGTGGCTTCACTGCTGAGGCTATAAGAGGTAAGTCAGCGGAGTCCACAACAGTCTGAAGCCACTTGCACCTCTTTGCCAAGACGTGTCATTTGCAAGTTTCATTAACCAACGTCTTAAAATAAGTGACCTTTCAGGTCCCTGGGGATTGGTTTTAACCATAGCATGTCTGTGTTTCTTTTCCTCCTAAGGCTTTAACAACACGGAGAGAACATGCGACAAAGAGTTTATTATACGCAGAACAGCCACCAATCGAGTCCTGAATGTCCTCCGTCACTGGGTCTCAAAGCACGCGCAGGTAATTCAGTGGCTTCATTAATTATTTTCAAGAATTTTTTTTAAACCAACTTTTTAAGTTGTTACTCATGTAAAACACCTCCTGATTCTTTGGAGTTAGAGTTTGAAACCTTGAAATTGGAACATGGGGAGAGAAAAAATAGGAGGATAGACATATAGATCAAAGCAAATACACAGGTATTGCCAACACCCACTGTTTCAAATCTACAAATGGCATGACACAGGAGGGGAAAGAGGGCTCCCCTCTTCCCTCATCTTCTGAGGCAACAAATCCCACCTGTGGGCACTTGAGCCAGGGCAGGGCTACTGTACTGGGCCACCCCTAGAGCACCATTCACAGGACCCTCTCTGTAAGTGGAGTTGTGCCAGCTGCAGTGGTGCCCCCTGGAGGTAAATAGAAGTTGCCTCCTGGAGGTAAGCAGCAGGTACTCCCCTGAGGTAAACAACAGGTACTCTCCTGAAGTAAACAGCAGGTACTTCCCTGAGGTAAACAGCAGATGCTCCCTGAGGTAAATAGCAGGTACTTCCCTGAGGTAAACAACAGGTACTCTCCTGAAGTAAACAGCAGGTATTTCCCTGAGGTAAAGAGCAGATGCCCCCTAGAGGTAAACAGCAGGTGCTCCCTGGAGGTAAACAGCAGTTACTTCCCTGAAGTAAACAGCAGATGCCCCCTGAGGTAAACAGCAGGTACTTCCCTGAGGTAAACAGTAGGTGCTTTCCTGAAATAAATAGCAGATGCCCCCTGAGGTAAACA